CACACACACACAAGTATGTACACACTCCTATATCTTGACCTCCTCTTTCTCATCGATGCTCTACTCCTCTCCTCTCCTCTCCTCCACTCTAATCTACTCTAATGTACTCTCTTCTTCTTCTTCTTCTCTCTTAACAGCTTTCTAAAGAACGTGAGCGTCTTCAGGCGATGATGGCCCACTTGCACATGCGGCCCTCGGAACCCAAGTCATCTCCCAAACCAGTGAGTGCATATTGCTCTGGCTACCGTAAACAAGCTTGGCTATGAATGAGCCCCCACACACACACACAAAATGAACAGTTTAACCACCCGGCAGTTGTGGCGAGTGAGTGACAGATGATGAATAGGGGGGGAATGGGATTTGTAATATCGAGTTGCATCTGCTTCTTATCAGGTACTGAGCGCCATGAGAGGACAATAGAGTTTGGAAAGTGTATTAGATGGCAGAACGGTGGAGTCCTTGGCTAAAGCGCAGGGTCATTTCTTCTGTGATAGATATAATAGCCAAAACAACCTGTTGGCTGCTGATGACTGTTTGGCTCTGTGGCCACAGTAGCACTCAAAAGTGGAATGAGAGAGGAGAAGATATGTCATTTTAACAACAAACACCTGAAAATTACAGTTGAGTGGTGAAGATGGCGCGGTGTTGTCATAAATACCCACAGTGCTGCTGAAATTGGTTACAGGGAAAAAAAATCCAAAATTGTGAAAGGGGTCATTGAAGCAGGAAAATGATGTCATTCTACATTTTCTTTCTCTTGCCTTTTACTTTTAGATTGAATGATTATAAATGCATTTCTCCCCACCACTATTTGAATTTAATATTAAGATGATACATTTTTTCCTTCCAGTTTTAGACATTTTGAAATATTTGAGAGCAAAACATTGTTAGCGTGTTTCTGCTGCTTAGTAAGTGCCTACTTTCAATAGAATAATTTCCCTCATCACCTCTCATCATAGAATGTAGATAATCACAAGATAGCATAATTATCCCATAATTCCATCAGGAATCAAACTCCCTTTTTATTATTCAATCTCTCTCTCTCTTTCTTTCTCTCTCTCTCTCTCTCTCTCTCTCTCTCTCTCTCTCTGTAGCTTTTTTTTTTTAATCTTCAAAACTCCAGCAGCTTGGTTCCATCTCGTCCAATAAAGAATTTGCAGCCTATAATCCATGCCTGAATATGAATGAATGATGCTAATGAAGTATTGCATTACATAAAGCACACATGAAAGAGCAGCTAATTGCATTTGATGGTGGGGGCAATTCAGACAGAATTCTTAAACGAACAGTTAAGTCCTCAGTTTTAAGGCTCCCCCATTTTTTTTTAAGGGGAGGTAAGATGAAGATTTGGTGTGTGAAATAAAACGCATGTGTGTGTATCCTGTACAGAAAGTGAACAGACATAACAAAAGACAGATGGTTGGTGGATTTCAAATGGCAGCATGGATTTACACCCAGTAGAATCACACAGACATTTTATAAATATGAATGGTCTGTGTTAGCCTATCAGGGCTAGATATAAGTCCTATTTTTTTCATTAGTGAAGCCCACGAACAACCAAAGCCAGACGAATACAAGACACCGGGGCACTGTCACCAGTATGACCCCATTTATTCCCTGAATCACACTTCATTAAATGCTACCTTTTGGCCATGCCATGGATGGATGAGAATCAAAGTTAGCAAGGCTGCAAGTTCTGAATAATAAGATCTCTCTCTCTCTCTCCCTCTCCCTCCCAACCTTGACTGTGTATTCAGATGAGCGAGAGGTGACAGAGTGCTCACCCCTCCTTCCGTTTGACTGTAATCAATTCGATTTTGCAAAAATGGCATTGCATGCCTGCAAACATGCCACGCTTGTTGCCGTGTCTCGTAGGTGAGAGGCGGAAAAAAGGACAGGAAATTATGTTTTAACATATAAATATACATGCTTATATGCACACAAAGGCATTTATTGTGAATTTAGTTTGCATATTTCGCCATGTCTTCTGCCACATAGTGTGCAAGTGTTTATCAAATTGCCTTTTGAGGAAAATGCATTTGGCTTTTCACAGTTCAGTGTCTGGTTTTGTGCATGTAGCAGGATGCACACACACACTGTCATGACCTCAACCACTATGAATTAAATAGCAATTTTCACATTACATACTTCCATGATTTCACTACTGGTGGAGAAATAAATTAATATTTGTTTTTTAGTGGTCAAGTGTGTGTATGTGTGGTGTGTTTGTGTCAAAAAGAACAACAAACAGTAGTTAACAGAAACAGAGGGAGGTAGATATTTCTGAGAATTAGCTCTATATAATGAATCCAAAATATACGTGTATATTTAGACATACATACTTTCCATAACTCCCCAACTCTCATCCTCATTCACTGTGCTCAGCAAAGGCCTGAATATGCACCCAACCCCTGCCTCAGCCCATCACTGTAGCAGCTCATTACAGCTAAGTGGGCATATAATTATCATCCGAAAACCCCTACATCCACCGGAGTCTCTCAAACTTGACATTTTATCATATTTATCAACACATGCCACAAATGACCGCGGATACCTTCTCCTCAGCCTCGCTCCGCCATCTCTCAGTGCCTTCGGCCCCCCACTCCCTTCCATCTTTCAAGTCAGTTTTAATTCAAACTCTCACAAACGGATGCATTCCACTTGTAGACTCACAATTAAGGCAATTTGGTTTGAATATGTAACGATGTCATTACCATTCCAACTAAATTAGTGCAGAGACTAAAAGGTCAGTTAGGAATTTTCCAGTCGGTTAGAGCCTCTCACATGAGATTTGGGAAGCAAACGCAAAAGTGGTGGAAAAGCCGGACGATTAGCAAGCACAGTTGGCATTCATGCCAGAGGTGACGAACACTCTCTGGTCCCTAATGCTGAAGGAGTGGAGGAGACCAAGACAGAGTGAATGCGAGTGTATCTGAAGTCACCACAACTGTCCATGCAGGGTTTTCATTTTTTACTTGAAGTGTCTTTTCAATCTTACTTTGAGAAAAAACATGATTTTCTACTTATCCTTCCTCATGCACTGGAACTTTCACTGGATTAGGGCTGATAAATCAACTATAACTGCAGTCTCCCATGGAGTAATAATGACTTCCAGTTGTGTTGTTGCTGATGTTTGAAGTTCTAGTATCAGTGTAAGTGTCCATCCACAAAGTGATTTAGACTGCAGTCTCAAATGCTACCGATCAAGTGAGGCTTTTAGTGTCAAGCAGATAATACTTGCTTCGCATGTACAGCCATTTAGTTTGCATTGATAATTATCCACAGGGTCTTTTAGGTAGCTACTCTCTTAAACCTCTTTCACACTGAGGTACTGACCCAAGGGTTTTGCTGTTTGTGTGAACAAATCCACATAAACTGTCCGTATCAAGTCTGTATGGGCTTTGGTATGAAATTGGCGCCACTGGTGTTTACAGTAACTGACCTTATTGGCTTACTTTAGTGTTCAGATACAGTCATATTAAGTTATAGAAACTCGTTTACAGTACATATGTATTGTGAATTTTAGCCAACTCAGCCATAAGTTCTTCTTGATCACAAAAAATCATCTTGCAACCAAAAAATGGCGACCGAATAACAAAAACAGATTGTATTGAATTACAGTAGATCCTCCATGCCAGCACAATGCTGAAAAGAGTCAGAGATGTAGACCCAAGTTTTTTTGTTGACAGCAATGACCCGGTTCCACTCACTATCGTGACTTCAGTTCACCCTTTCACACCAAAGTGGAGTGTTGAGTAGGGTTGTGGTTCTCCATCAGGGTTGACCACTTCACACCTACAGCAAACAAGGTTTTTACCAGCTCATTGCCTCAGTGTCTCAGTGTGAGAGGATTATGGGTGGTTGTAGTGGGGGAGCTAGAGAAGGAGAGAGGGAGGGAGGGAGTGATAAATAGAGAGATAAAGAGAGATGGGGCCGGGATAACACGGAGGCTGATCGTTGGATAATCTTGAACAGCGTGCTCTAATTAGAATTCTTATGATACAATTTGGTGGTTGTAATTAGTGGAGATGGGCTGGCTCCTCTCCACGAGCCTTGTTAGTGGAAACACAGCTGTGTTAGAGAGGAGGAGAGCAGACACTCGGCTCTGTCAGAGAAACCACAAAATAATGCCTTCCCCTCTCTCTCTCTCTCATTCTCCCTCCCTCTCTCCCTGCTACTTGTATTTGTATCTGTCTCTTTCCCACTCTCTCTCTGACACAGCTCAACTTGGTGTCCAGCGTCACCATGTCCAAGAACTTGCCCTCAGCGTCACCCCCCAACTTACCTCAGACACCCACCACGCCCACAGCGCCGATCACACCCATGGCCGCCATGCCCCAGGTACCATCAGTACTGGGAGGAGCCAACGTCCCCAGCATGGGAGCCATGCGCAGACGCCACTCGGACAAATACTCCATGCCACTTTCGTCAGGTAGGACCAACTACTCAGCACTGCATGTCACACGCATCATACAGTACATATGTACATACATACATACATAC